TTAATCATCGTGTAACTTACCTTTGTAGTAGGCTTCCCTGTGCATGGAGGGACAGCTTCCTCCCTGGGGAAAGGAGAGAAAGGAAAACACATAAATATCACACTTAGTAAGAGAAAGAAAGAAACAAACAAACAAACCCACATAAGTAACGTACACGATACCTAAGACTTTGCTGTAGATTTGCATAACCAGTAAAATAATAATAATGAAAATGATAATAATAATAACGATATTAATAATAATAATACTAACAATAATGATAGTAATAATAATGATAAAAAAGATAAATAATGAATACTAACAATAATAATAATAATGATGACGATAATGATGATAATAATAATGATAATATAATATATAATAATAATAATAATAATAATAATAATAGTATAATAATAATAATAATATTAATATAATAATAATAATAAAAATAATAATAATAACAATAATAATAATAATATTATATTAATAAATAATAATGATAATAATAATAATAATAATAATAATAATAAAATACAATAATAATGATAAGAATGATGACGATAATGATAATATAATAATAATAATAATATAATAATAATAATAATAATAATAATAATAATAATAATAATAATATAATAATAATAATAATAATAATAATAATAATAATAATATAATAATAATAATAATAATAATAATAATAATAATAATAATAATAATAATAATAATAATAATAATAATAATAATAATATAATAATATAATAAATAATATATATAAAATAATATAATAATATATATAATAATAATAATAACAATAATAATAATAACAATAATAATAACAATAAAATAATAATAACAATAATAATAATAAATAATAATAATAATAAAATAATAATAATAATAATATAATATAATAATAATAATAATAACAATAATAATAACAATAATAACAATAACAATGACCAACAACGGCCACACGAAAAGGAAACCGAACGAATCTAAATCACGGACAGTTTATTATCGCGTCCCTGTGTCCTTTGTCAGATAGAGCCGCCGAAGAGACGTCATGCTTCAGCTGGTAAAGGCGAGGGTCATTGTTTCGGCTTTCACAGGGCGATGGACAAGTGCCACAAAGTGTCCAAGATGTCACATTGCACCGCGGGAGAAAGGGAGGGTGACTGGATAGATAGATTGGAGAGGAGGGAGGAGGGAGGAGGAGGAAGAGGGAGAGGAAAGGGAGGAGGAGGAGGAATAGGGAAAAGGACACCGGGAGAAAATGGAGGGTGACGGATAGATAGATTGGAGAGGAGGAGGGAGGAGGAGGAGGAGGTGGAGGAAGAGGAAGAGGAGTAGGGAGGAGGAATAGAAAGGGAAAAGGAGGAGAAAGGAGGAGGAGGAGGAGGAGAGGAGGAGGAGGAGGAGGGAAAAGGAGGAGGAAGTCCAAGATGTCACATTGCACCGCGGGGAGAAATGGAGGGTGACTGGATAGATAGATTGGAGAGGAGGGAGGAGGAGGAGGAGGAGGAAGGGGAAAAGGAGGAGGTGGTGGAAGGGGAAAAGGAGGAGGAAGGGGAAAAGGAGGAGGAGATGTCACATTGCACGCGGAGAAATGGAGGGTGACTGATAGATAGATTGGAGAGAGGGGAGGAGGAGGAGGAGGAGGAAGGAGGGAAAAGGAGGAGGAGGAAGGGAAAAGGAGAAAGAGGAGGAAGGGGAAAAGGAGGGTGACTGGATAGATAGATTGGAGAGGAGGGAGGAGGAGGAGGAGGAAAAGGAGAGTGACTGGCTAGATAGATTGGAGAGGAGGAGGAAGGGGGGAAAGGGAAAAGGAAAGGAGGAAAAGGAGGGGTGACTGGATAGATAGATTGGAGAGGTGGAGGGAGGGGGGAGGAGGAGGGAGGAGGAGGAGGAGGAAGGGAAAAGGAGAGAGGTCCAAGATGTCACATTGCACCGCGGGAGAAATGGGGGTGACTGGATAGATAGATTGGAGAGGAAGAAAGGAGGAGGAGGAGGAGGGGAAAGGAGGAGGTGGAAGAGGAGGAAGAGGGGAAGAGGGAGAGGAAAGGAGAAGGGGAAAAGGAGAGGAGTGTTCAGATGTCAATGGAGGGTGATTGGATAGATAGATTGGAGAGGAAGGAGGAGGAGGAAGAAATAGGAAGGGGAAAAGGAGGAGGAGGAATAGGAATAGGGAAAAGTAGGAGGAGTGTCCAAGATGTCACATTGCACCGCGGGAGAAATGGAGGGTGACTGGATAGATAGATTGGAGAGGAGGAGGAGGAGGAAGAGGAAAAGGAGGAGGAGGTGGAGGAGGAAGGGGAAAAGGATCAGGAGGAGGAGGAGGAAGGGAAAAAGGAGGAGGAGAAGGAAGGAAGAGGACGAGTCGCAGTAGGAGCTGTAGTAGTAGTAATTCGAGGAAGAAGACAATGAGAAAGAGAAGGTGGTGGTGGTTTAGAAGAAAATGAGTAGGAGGGGGAAGAGGGACACGTTGAGGAGGAACAGGGAGATGAAGTGCAAGGAAGGA